TTTTATTTATTTTATTTTTTTAATTTTAAATTTTAATTTTTTTTTATTTTAATTATTTTTATAAGATATATTTTTTTTAAAAAATATTTTTTTTATTTTATATATTTTAAAAAGAATTAAAAAAATTTTAACTAAATATATAATAGTTAGTTAATAATTTTTTTTTTTTTAAAAATTCGACAATCTTGCCAATTACTTTATTAGGATGCAATATTAAACTTACAAGTAAAATATCAATTATAACTCAAGTTATCTTAAACCTATCTAAGTTACAAGTATTGGCTAACCCGGTTGTTCTTTGCAAATACCTATATTTGACTTGCTATAGTAAATATTTATCTCCATACCAAACAACTCTGCAAGTAAATTATTTGATATATTACTGAATAGTATTTATAGCCTATTAAGATTGCTATTTTTTCTAAATCTTTTTCTTCTAGCTTCCAAGCAGAAAGATTTATAGTCTCTAGCTGATTTATAAAAAAAAAAAAAAACTAATACATTTATTAGCTGATTTTTTGCAAATAGTAAAATTCTCTCCCCTCAAATGATTATGATTATATATAAACATATATACATGCGATCTATTGGTATGATATTTTGGTATCTACCCCCCTGCTAAAATGATCAGATGATAAATGACACTTCTCTAAAGGAAATAAAATGAAGAAAGAAGAGAAAAAACTATTTAAGCAACAAGAAAATGAAAAGAAAAAAAAACTAAATAGAACAAGAAAAAAAAGGCAGAAAAAAAATAATTTATAAAAGCACTATTATAGCTCATGCCAGGTACAAGTTGTAAAAAATTATATACTAAATTTAAAAATCTTATAACTAAAATTCAAAAACTATCGATTTGTGGTTAATAGCATAGCAGTTATACTTCCAGATTGCAAATTGGAAAGTTGCCAGTTCAATTTCTCCCAGCAGCAAAATAACAAAAAACCAAATATGGAAGTGAAACACCACAGAGTATAGAGAACTTGGGACATTTACAGATAAATATATTTAGAAATAGTTATTCTGAAAAGTTGTAGCTATGAAGTGAGACATATTAGAACCCTAATTTAAAATAACTGAAGTCATAAGACATAATATAAGATCTAAGTCTGAGAGAATACTACATGAACTTATAGTGCCACCTAATTGGCAGGTAAAAAAGTCTTGTCGATTATTATAAAAAGTAATCCAACTACTCCAGCGGTTGGTGTAGTAGTTGCATTTGGCTACTCAATAAAGTAGAAAGTGAGGTCAGGCTAGAATACTCAGTGTTGAATTTATAGATCCGGTAGGATCAACAAGTTATAGAGTTAGAACTAGGTCACAGCAAGACATGCCTAAAATAAAAAAAAAAAAATTCAAAAACTATTATATATCTCTATTGTAAAGCAATGTTTTATCCTTGATTTTTTTTTGACTATAGTATTTGGTTCAAATTGTTTTGATATCCAAAGCATCAATTAATTCATTATATGGTGTAGAAGTATCAATTACCAAAACAATTCTATATTTATATCTTATGTTGTCTGTCCTAAAATGGAAAAGTAAACAATACCAATCTTTTGAAAAGAGTAAGCCAAATCCCTACTTTTTGTCAAAAATTTTGTAAGAATGGCAAAAAAGCAAAAAGAGTAATATAGAAACTACTTGGCCAAAATAAAGGAGTACAGCTTAAAGAAAATATACTTTTTGCTGTTCTTTAGTTATTTTTTAGCAGCTCTCTTTGTTGACAGATAGCTTGAACTTTTCACTTTCATCTCTTCACCAAAATTTTACATACAAAGGCATTACTTTTTGCCAGTTATTTTGTATAATAATACTTTTAGCTTGCTTGCTGAATATATAGAGAAGTCCCCCTAAAGTAAAAAGTTAATCTTTATAAAAACCATCCTGCTTTTAAAGCTACTTAGACCCCAGCACCTATATTTAGCAAAAAAACAAAGACTTTTCTTTTATAGAAATTTTAAACTAAGTAATCATTGAAAAGAGTTTATTATTGTAGATAAAATAGTTATATACAGTACACCCTTTCAAATCCGATACACATAGTTGATAGCTTTTGTATTAGTTTTGAGAGATTATCGAATTTGAAAATTGATTATAGCCTACTATTACATGATCACAAATAAATTTAATTGGCTGGATTATATTTCTTATATATATAATCTGTTGCACAATACCCGATCTTAGCCAATCAAATCAATTTATATTACCTGTCAAAACTAATATCTTATAGATATTTGGTCTTCTGGGTATTGGTTATTAGAAATGACAAGTTATCGGGTTTTAATTATGGAACAGACATGGTAGATTAATTTTTTATCAGTTTTAGCAAAGTTATCGGTTTTGACAGGATTGGTTTTGAGAGGGTGTACTGTACTGTATAATATATAGTATACTATATTAGCCTGCTATATATAGTTACAGTTAACTCTCTTTTAACCGAACTTCTCTAAACCAAACTCTCTTTTAACCAAACCGAAAACTCTAAGACATTTATAAATTTTATTATGTTCAGATAAGCTTATAATACCTCTTTGAGAACCGAACTAAAAACCCAAGAACAGGCTGTTCGGATAAGAAAGAATTGACTGTATTTACAATTAATAAAAGCAAAATTATAAAAAAAATTTTTTTCTTATATATATAAATAGTATTATTATAATAATTCCTTTTATTTTAGAGATGTGGCAACTTAGTGTAGTGGTCTAGTCATCACCCTCTCCAAGTGGCAGGTCTAGAGTTTGAATCCCACTAGCAATGATTTTGAAAAATAAGTCTGTATACAGTTGATGGCTTTCTATTAGTTGGATCTAGATTAATCTATAACTTTGGACACACTATCTAATAATAGAAGCTTTAGCGCAATAAATTCAGAGAACCAGAATAACTGAAAATCTGTTTGGCAAGTCCTGAGTTTGGAGGTAGTAGTAATCTATGACAATACCATAGAAGGGCTAAATTCGAACCAGGGCACGAAATCAGAGAACCGAGCAACCAGGTCCTAATGGTGGAAAATATACTAGCTGAACTGCTGGGTTGTTGCACTGAAAAAAAAGAACATATGCTCCAACAGTATGGACCAAGGGGAGGGTGTCTTTCAGGCATCTAAAGCCTGGGCAGACCAACCCTTCCAGGTTGTCGGCTAGAAGTAAGAGAAAAATCGATAAAAAATCCAGATAAGAAGACAGTCTAAATGTGAGGTACTGAGGTTGCTAGAAACCAAAACAAGAGCAAAGAGTATATAATGGGTGTCTAGTTAGAAAAGTTGATGCTTGAGAAATATCCATAGAATGGCAGCACCCCAAAAGATGGTATGAGATACGGCAGGTCAATATGTACTAATTAGGAAGAAGTTATAGGAACAAGCATGTGAATACATGTGTGGGATATGTACTGCTATGTTAGGTTTACCTCGAGAATAGACTAGGTCTATATGGGTTAGTAAGTCCTAAGGCAGTGAGCAAAATTTAGATTAGGTGATATCCAAAATCCAGCATAAGAATAGTGAGGTAAACCTATTAGGTTAGAGGGCAGATGAAGGTAGTTAGAACCAGATGGTTTAAATGGATACTCCTCTAGTTAGGATGCAGGTATGGCAAATAGTGTAAAACCTTTGGATAGACTACTTAAATTAGGCACTCAAAAGGTACACGTGTGGCTTGATGTATCATTGTTATAATTACATATAAAACTCTGTTTATACTCTAATAAAAAGTTTTCCAGGCCAATATAGATCACCTTAATACCAAAAAAAAAATAATAATAATTCTTTTTATTTTTTACAAATTACATTTTTAAATATAATCAACTCAAGCTTAATTATAAATTTGGTATAGATTTGGTTTATTTAAAAATATACAATAAAATTATTAACTTTAAAGTTTTTAAAATGTTACAGATAATCATGATAGCAAAATTTGAAGGTCTTCTTTTGAAAATATAAACTCTACTTATACTCTAAATTCCAATCTATCACTAAAAAAAAGCTAGAATAATACACTAAAAAATCTAAAATTTTATATTAAATTAGATTCAAATTTCATCATCATCCGATTTCATGATCATCCGTGACATTTAGTTTTCCAAATACTAATTAAGATCGTTTTCTAGAAACAGTAAATCTGGTAAATTTTACCTCCGGTAAGTGTTCCAGTAAATATACTGTATATTTATAGTTAAAAATAATCACTTTTTTTAATAAAAAAGTTTGTAAATTATGTCGATCTTTTGTTTTTATGTCGTAATACCTAACTACACAACTTGATTGGATACTATTCACGACATTGCATGAGTAAAAATAGCATCCGCTTCGGACAATTAATGTTATCAATTTACAAAGTATCACTGAATTAAAGTTTTTTTTTTTTTTTAGAATATTTGAATGTTTAAAGTTATTTGGTAATAATTGGGGTTTGGCTTTAATATGCAGCTCAAGTACTGTCATTATTGACATTATCTAGAAAATTGGTATTTCGACCATTGTTCAAAGGTATGCAAAATATGGCAATAACTATATATGAAAAATTCGGAAAGTACGCGAAATATACTATTTATTTTCTAGAACAAATGCGGGCGATCGATCACCGTAACAAAATGCGAGTTAACGTCAATATAGAGTTTTATTACCGTTACTAACGTCCAAATTTCTTGTATTATACGTCACATCTAAAATAAAAACAATCTAACGTTAAATTATTCTATTGTCTTATTTAGGTATTTGATGATTATGAGTTCAATTTCCCAATTTTGTAATTTAAGTTATGGTACACGTGTCTCTTATTTGCATGTAATATGTCACCTGGTGTACTCATTATTTATGTATGACAAAAAGTCAGTCGCTAGTACGTATGCACGTAGAGAACTCGTATTATTTTTCAATTTACGTTGGTTATCTTCAACTAGCTCCAATTTTCATACTCTAATGAACTAAATACTACCGATAAAATTATCTTAAATTTGAATTAATACTGAAAGAATAATTTAATAATAATCCCGATATGTCACAGGATTCTCATAACGTTATATTTACTTCCCACGGGAGAAATAAGAAACGAATGAAATCTTCTTGGAGTTCAGAAGACGAAGACACTGTTCACCAAAAGGTGGAGGAAACAAGAGAAGAAAAATATGAACGTGGTAAGTAAGCCGAGAAATTTCGAGGGATAGAGTGCCTGCATCGAAATTCGTAGATTATGAATCAAAGTGTGATTTATTATCGAGAAAGGATTTGAAAGGATTTGATTAGCAATATACGTTTAAGAAAATGTTCTTTATCGGGCACATTGCCTAATATCAATTTTAAAAAGTTAGAGATGTTACTGAACAGTTTTTTCGTTTACACCTTTACCATGAAAGGAATATCTAAGTTCGAAATTTTTGATTTTTGATTTATGTCATCCATCGTAACTTTATAATAGATTATTATTATTATTTATTATTATTATTATTATTACTATTTTAAAGGCTAAAAATTTATGGAATACTTTTGTTGGATAATAAATGTAGTGCAACTTCTCCAAACACTTATTACTCTACAAAAGCGTCCAGACACACAACGTGCATTTGAAATTCTCAAAGAAGACATATCAAAGAAGCCATATCTACTTCCATTGCGAACAGATCACAAAGGAAATAAACATGTTCAGTCATTTGAACAATTGGTATGATTAACACGTCAATTATCAATAATAGTTATTTCATTTATTTATAACGTAAGCAATTTGATCTTTCAGATGAAGCATGCCGATGATTATGAATCGGAATTTAGACGCCTTTTTTCAGAAACCGTAAAACCTGACAATCCAAATTCCAATAAAAAATTCAGAGAGGCAGTAAACTTAACTCCAGGAACTATTTTCTGTGGACAGGTTAATCAAAAAACAGGTATTTATTATTTATTTATTTATTTCTCTTCATAATCATAAACGTGCATAAATGTGTTAACGTTTTTTCCTTATTATAGAAATAGCTGTCCATCAAATGGAACTGGGAGGTCCACGGCCTACGAAGGGTAGTCCACTCCCAGTATATTATAATAGCTGGAAACAATTGACAACGCTTGATGGCCATAATCAGCCAACATATTGTGTGCTATTTGATAAGACAGGTAGAAGGGTGTTTACAGGGAGTGACGACTCATTGATCCGTGTATGGTGCACAAGCACTGGGTCGTTGCTTCGGGCATTATACGGGGTATATTTATACACATATATTTATTACAATTATAATTTATTAATTCTTTTATTAATATGCCGGCATTAACTTTACATTTAGCACACCAAAGCAATAGTGGACATGACGATAAACTGTAAGAATGACTTACTTGCTACTACATCCAATGATAAAACGGTCGTTATATGGAGTCTTGACACATATACTGCAATACATCGGTTTGGGATGGTATGCATTCTTTGAAACGTTATTTATTATTTCTACAATTTACAATTAATAATTTCTTTATGTTTGGTTGTAGGATGAAATGGCGACATCAATCCTTTTTTCCCCAACTCCGATTGCAGAAAATCGTTATCTGATTGCGACTTCGGATAACTGGCATACATGGGTGTGCAAATATAACGATACTGACAATAGTTTTGGACCTACTTCTAAAATAAAACCCGTGAATGCCGTTGGGTCGAATCACAGAATGAAATGCACCTCATTTAACTATACTGGCTCAATGTTTGCAATTTCTGGTACTGATGGACTTATTCGAGTATATTCAACAATTGGCGGTACTGCTTTGTACGATAATACTAATAAAAAGGGTAAAAAAGCAAAAAAGCCCTTTGATCTTGTCGAAATAATAAAACAGTCGTCTGATCCAGAAGACTCTGATGATTCTGATGATGATTTAATTAGCATGCCTACTCGAGTCGTTGGTAACGGTAACAACAATAATAACGATATCATAAGTAATAACTGCGATAATTCAAATAACGATGATGACCTTTTTGCTGATATGAACATGGATATGGCACGCAGTCTCCTCCTTGCAGGAGTAAAATCTTTCAATGGTCAAAATATCACTCAATCTACTCGAAAAGAATTTGTGGCTCCAATACAAAATAGGCAACCGATTTCGCCTTTATCAAAACATCATAATGCTATTCCGTCTACATCAAAACAACCAATTGTTAATACTGTATCATCACCGAGTAGCACCATTTCTTTATCTTTAGAGTCAACATCACAATCTCATACAAGCTCAAATCTTTCTCAATCGAGTACGACAGTGCAATCATCTGCAACGATCGTTTCACAGTCTACATCAAGTCCAATTGTTCAGACGAGACATGTAACACATTCTTCGTCAACATCTGAAACTCAAGCCTCAAGACCGTTACTAATACCTTCATCAGGACCTATGACACGAGTCGCCAAATCACGATCAAGATACCAAAATTCTAGAAATAATACTAGTATATCAGCACCAGTATCACCAGGTTATATCAGTTCAGCCGGAGAAGCCTCGGATACTTTATCTGTGAATGCCACTAGTCGTCGAATAAATCGTAATAATAATCGTAGAACGAATGCGAGTGCACCAGCTTCACCAGGACGTAACATAGCATCATCCCGATCAATAAATTATACAAACAATAATGTAATAACACCTGCTACTGCTCAAAATGGCGATTACGATGATCCAAATTTAATGAATCTTGCGAATTATTTTGATCCAGTTCATATTGCTGATCTGGACGGTCATACTGCCACTGTCAATAGTCTTGAATTTGCACATCGCAGTAATAGACTATTGTCGGGAGCAGAAGATGGTACTGCACGCGTTTGGGAATACAATTATATTTTTAAACAATGGACCTCAATTATTTTGGATGTTCGAGGGTCGAATAATAACGCAAAGGTGACTTCTATGCGTTGGAGTCTTGATGATACGAAAGTGATAATTGGGAATAATTACGGCATTATTACAATCTTTGATAGCGAAAATGGAGAAGTTAGAGTTCGAATAAATGCGCACAATGATAAGATCTTTGTACTAGATATTCATCCACATGATTGTCGTGTGATGATGTCCGCGGGGTATGATGGTCGTATTGTGATGTGGGATATTATAGACGGTCGTGCTATCAAGGGTACGTTATTATATATGTTTAATGATTTTATATTAATCTTATTAACGAATTATTTCATAACTTAAAGTTTGGGATCCGAGTAATTTGGAGTTTCTTGGTGATACGTTTGAATTTCTTGATGGAAAGTTCCGTGATGATGGTATGCTCTTTTCTTTTTTATTTATTTATTTTTTTAAAAAAAAATATTCAAATGTTGATATTTTAATAGGGGAAATGTTTGCTGTAAGTGATGGCAAAGGAAAGTGCCATCTTATTGGCATAGATCAGACATGTAATTATGATAAATATCGTATCCGTGCAAAAAATGGGCAGAGATTCTTCGAGGATTATACGACCAGATCCGTGGTATTTTCCGAACGAGAATGGACGTTTATTGACAACGATAGTGGTGTGAGTTTTTATGCGCCTGTCGAAATATATATGTATATTTATGGAAAGAATTACAAAATTAATTATATTTTTACGTAACAGTTACGCATTGACCCGTCACAGCAAACGGAAGTACTGAGCTTGGGCAGTGTTCCATATGAGAGACAAGTACCTATTTCGTTAGGTAAGTATAGCCAAGATTATTATTTCATATTTTTCTTTTATTAACTGATTATACTTTATTAACAATCAATAATAGCACAAGGTAGACGGTCACGCCTTTCAAGTAAGAGACTTAAACCGGATATCGAAAATAAAAAACAAATTTTAATTGAAGAAGTTAACAAGTAGTAGTTTTTTTCTTTTTTACATCAATGATAAAATTGGTGTTAATTTCATATTAATATAAAAATTCTTTTAATACCATATCATAGATTACAACAGGGGGCAATAGTGAAGTAAATATTGCGAAGATTGATTTATAGTAATACACATTACCAATGATAATAAAATATATATCGTTCTATAATTAGGGTGGTTTTAAATAAGAAGGAGGTATCGTTGCGCCGTAAGAAGATTCAAATTCCAGAAGAGGATGATGATGACAATTACATGGACATTGATCCGTTAGCGATCGAAGAACCTATTATCCCACTACCTGATGATGATATTGATCCTGATTACGAACCTGGCCATACAGATAATGAAAGGTCTGATAGTGACAGTGATGGATCATGCAATTCAATAGTAATTGAAAACAATATATCAATGGATGAATACTATGAATCCATTGCTGAAGACAGTGATTTTGAGCCTCGTAAAACTAGAAGTAAGAAAGCTCGTGCTGCTATGTCAACACGAAGGACAAAACGTGAACGTAATTATTCAGACCATGAAGAATCTGTTGTGGAATCATCTCGAAAATCTAGGCGCAAAAGAAGACGTGTTAGCTACAAAGATTATTATGACAGTTCTTCAGACGAACCTTCAACACCCTCGGATGATATATACGAAGATGAATCTGCAGACATATCTGGTGCTGATCCAACTTCACCGCATAGGGGGAATTCTGACAATGATCAAGATGACGTTGACGCTGCTATTTTGGCCGCAGTTGAAGATGATGTTGATAATGTTGATAATCGTCCAGAATGGATTAAAAGTGTTAACCCAAAATCAATTTATATTCCTCAACGCGGGGACATTGTTGCTTACTTCTACAAAGGTCACCGAACATTTGTTGAAAGATCGACAACGGAATTTGCCGATTCTAAGCTCGCAAAGGACCTTTCAAAGAAGTCAGTCAGTAATGCGCTCCCATATAACCGCTATCAACTCAACGACATCGAATTTCTTGAAATACGGGACGTTAAATGGTTCTCTGGACCTCCATCATACGCTACTGTTTCATGCGTTATGCTAGAATATACGTCGACAGACGATTCTGTGTATCCAATGGAGCCAGATTTCCAGCAAACTAACCGAAAAGTAGATATCTCATATTTTGATATTGATGGGGTTTGTGAATTCCTTGTCTTGTATAAGCGGTTCGTGACGGGAGTAAATCAGAGCTTTGAAGTTAATGATAAAGTAGTAGTTCGTCTTGATTCAACTGATTTCTCCGGAACTATCGCAAAGGTTAATCCACTGGATGACAACTCTTGGTGTGAATTTCCGACATATTTAGTTCAATGGTATGTTTGTTTACCTTATTATTATAAACTTTATTGCTTTTTGATTTCAGTCACATATTAATGTTTGTACTGTAGGGATGAGGAAGGCCAAGAACCTTCGGACTTCTTCACCTGGGAAATTAGGAAAAGTGGAATACCAGAGGTTGATTGTAGTCAATTAACGGAAGACGAAAAGAGAACATTCGATGAAGTCTTGACAGAGTTCATTGACAATGAAGAGTATGTTCTTTTCCATGAACATGTTGACTTTGCGCGATACGCAGATTATCTTGATCACGTTCCATATCCCGTGTGCCTGGATATGATGCTTAAACGAGTTCGTAACGGGTTCTACAGATGCAAACAGGTAAATTTATTATTATTATTATTATTATTATTATTATTATTATTATTATTAAAAATCTTACATAAATTAACCCATTTCTTTAATTTCTTAGGGTTTCAAGAGTGATTTGGACCAGATCGTGATTAATGCCGTAGCCTATAACAAGAGAAATTCAGCAATTGCAAAATTAGCAAGCCAAATGGTCTCTGAAATTGAGGCTACATGCAATAATCGTGGTACACCATTAGGAGGGGGTCCTTCAAAAAAGTGGAAAGGCAAGGCGAAAGCTTCGTAGCTTTATATATATATATATATACATAATTTTTGACAAGTTGTATTGTCTACTATATATATTGATTTTTTTGAGAATTACATATTTAAAATGATTGTTGTGATGCCTTTTAAAAATTTTCTTTTTCCATAGAGTCAATGTTTCATATTTTAATGTTTTTCAAGAAAAAAAAAAAAAGTTTTAAAAATATTAATACACACCTGAATTTATTTTAAATAAAATTGTGCTTTATTGTCATCGAGAATTAAAATATATTAGGTTTGGTTTAGAGTGCAAAATATTAGATTTGTTTTAGAGAATTAAAATATATATATTAGGTTTATTTTAGATATAAATTTTTTTGTTTAATTTTACGACCTGTGGACCAATGAATTTATAATATAAAAAGTTTTATTATTAATAATAAATTAAGACTAAAACGCATCTAGAGTGTTTTACACCTATATATATATAGTATTAATCAATGCAAGATGTTTTAAGTAAAAATGTTCTACGCTTCTAAAAACCCCCTAACTCTATTAATAGGTTGAAAATTTTTATATATATATATATTTTTTTAAGCGATCCTGTTTTTATTTATTTGAACTACTATGTGATACAATAAGTGCCGAAGTACCTTTGATCTCTA